GGTATGGTCAACAATCCGATCGTATCGCGGACAGAGTTATGCTTCTGCCGGCTGCTGGACGCTCATCTTATGGTCAACTCCGGGTTGACCACGGTCTTCAGACGCTCCACGCCCGCGTGGAGGCTCTTGCGACGGTTCAGGCTTCTGAGAGCGCTGAGTTGAGACAACAGCTGAACTTGCGGAAGGCCTACGTGGCCGAAGCCGCTCAGACCACCTCAAACATCCGTGTTGAGGGTTTGGAACAAGTTCGCCTTCTCCAAGAGAAAGCGAAGCGGCTTGAGGAGACGCTGAGGACGCGCCGCGCGTCGTCGTCGACGTGTCATCACGACGAGATGACTCGGGCTGCACGTATGGCTTCAAGCGCCCAACGTAGAACGTTGGGTTGAGTCTCATGTCGGAAGGAAGTTCCAACGTGTATGCGCTGCCGTGACGTTCTGTCACCGTGAACGGCATAATGAAGCGCGGAGCAAGCAAGTTTACCCCGAATCCAGAAACCGCATGAGTAGGCAAGTTTTGCGTAGATAACAAAACCAATGAACCAATTTTGAATTCATTTGTATTACCCCTGCCAACATTATCTGCGTTCAGCTTCTGGCTATCTGCAGAAGTTGCAATTGCATCTTGAACGAATCGAACGACTGCTTGTCGTTCGTGGACAAAGCCCATTGCTTGAGAGCTGAACCCCGGGCCAGCTCATTGGTCTTGTCGACGTCTGTGCATTGCACAGACTCGCCACTTGTGGTCGCATCAGTCCCAGACTGTGCGTGGCTCTTTGGGGTGTCAGTGCCGGGCACTGACACCTCGCATGTGCGCGCAACAGCTCAACCTGTGCGTGAAGCTTATCAGTATCGATGCCCGGCATCGATACATCGCATGTGCGTGCAACAGGCCCGGGCTGTGCGTGAGTCTTTGCGGTATCTGTACTCCGCACAGACACGTTGTCCTTGGATGAAGCAGGTGTCGCCTGCTCGTGGTTCTTCACAGTGTCAGTGCCCGGCACTGACACGTCGCCTTGTCGTGTGCGGGCTCTCGCTCTCGCACGTGTCATCGCAGCTGATAGATCCATATCAGCTGACTTCTGGGGTTGTTTGGACACAACCGTAGATCCTCCCCAACTTAAGGAGGAAACCACCGCCCCGAACGTGCTCGGAAGGCGTGTATGCCGCATGGCGTTCACGAAGAACGGTGTATGCCCAGTCGAGGCATGCGCCGTGTTGTTGATGGCAAACTCATTCATTCGCGTCTGCGTCATGAGCATACGCGGCCTTCACCTCGTCCATCCTCCACCACATATATGTCCGAGCGACGTCAATCTGGTTGACGTCGACTGTCTTGACAACATATTCCGGTCGTCGCGACAACGCGTCCGCGACGACATTCAACCTTCCGGGTTTGTACTCGGCCCGGAAGTTGTATTCCGCGAAGAAGGACAATCATCTCGCTATTCGTTGCGAGATGTGCGGAGACTGCACAGCCGTCCGTAACGACGCGTGGTCGTATAGACCATAAACGGCGTGTTGCCGAGTAAATACACTCGGAACTTCGCGAGTGCATACTTCATGGCAAGGGGTTCCTTGTCATGTACCGGGTAGTTTCGCTCAGCTGGCTGACGCGACGGGTAGTAGATGACTCGATCACGGCCCTCGTGATCGAGTTGCATTAACGC